TCGACGAAGATGAAGCCTCCATTGAATTTGATGAGTGTAATTTAAATTCAAAGTTCCCAAAACACAACCTTAAATTCAATTACACTTTATGAAAATAAACAATGATATATTAAATTTGAGATGTTGAAATTCAAATACATTATCTATAAAAAATCAAGTTCATCAGTGGAACCAATTTTTCATCATATCAAGTAGAATATTAACAGAATTGAATACTTCACTGAGGGAATGGGTTGATGTGGAGGTGGTAACAGGTAGTCTAGGTTGCCTTGAGTCTTGATATAGACTAAGAATAAGGTATGTGGCAAAGAGGAGCCACACGAGCAAGGCGACCAAAGCAATAAATGGTTTGCTAATGAAAATGAGTGAAATGACTGCCATAGAACCTGTCAGGATGGTAATAGTCCTCAGAGTGAAACTCCAATGGTGTGGGCAACAGTTGGGACATGTGGTGTGGCTACAATCGATGAAAAGGCACCTAAGGCCTGTAAAGCAAAACCACAAGGAACATAGCCCATCTCTATCATAGTGGTGCTTGTCTGAATATTTATTGATATATCTTGAACAAGCAAATAAAATATTTTTAATAAAATATTTCTTACTAAAAATTGTGAGATACAATGACCTTGGTCGAAAGGGACACATTTTCAAAGTGTCAAATTTTTGAGAGAGAGAGATTTTTGAAGAAGAGGAATTGTAAAAGTAAATTAAATATATATATATATATATTTGGACAAGATGACGGCAATGCCTCAGCCAACAGCCTCGCCGACGGGATTTAGAGTGGGACAAGGCCAACGGACGATGTTGTAGCAAAACTCCACACGTCTAGTGAACCTGGCACGGCTTTTGACATCTCTAATGCAGCCTCAAGGGGGATGCTAGGGCGATTCCTATCAACTCTTCAAGCTTTTCATCTCCCTAGCAAGGTATCTAAAAGTCCAAATGATTCTAAATGTTATACCTATACGGCCCTACATCAAGCTCTGTGAGTTTAAAACAAGAAGTATGTGGCATAAATACAAGAAAAGTTGCTCCACCTATTGCCAATTGATTTTAGGTTGGATGCAAACCTTGACCTTGTGTTGAGCTCACGTGCACATTTTGCACATAGTATCAGAGCCCAAATTCGGTCATGAGAAGCCCTTTGTTAGCCTACCTGATAAGACCCAAAGTTAAAGTTGATACTGAGCCTGCATTTAAAGGGGCATGTTAAGTCACGTCATAGGACCCAACATTCATAGTGGCCTTGCATGTGAAGGGGCATGTTGAGTGGGAAAATCTTACATCTAGTTTAAAACAAAGAAGTATGTGGCTTAATGGCATGGTGCACGTCTTTCTCGTTGTGGTCTCAAAGACTGCACAAGCTGGTTTCCGAAGTTTGTAGTAGGTTGTGAATTAGTTGTTGTCTGTGTATTTTGAGTTTCCTCCAGTGGCTCATGTTGGTCCATGGATTCGAGTTGGTGAGTACTCTCCTTAGGCTTGTCATGGGAATTGTCACTGGTTAAGGGATGCTCTTCAAATGGCTGAACCGTGACAGTAGGATTAGATTTGCCTTGATGGTGCTCATTCTTTTTAGACTGATAAGGAAAAATATCCTTGTAAAAAATCACATCTCTAGAAGTAAATATTTGTTGAGTTTCCAAATCATATAATTTGTAACCTTTCTTTCCTAAAGGGTAGCCTATAAAAATGCATTTAGATGCTCTGAAATCAAACTTTCCATGATTTTGGGAATGATTGTGGGCATAACAAAGGCAACCAAAGACTTTTAAAGAATCATAGCAGGGTGGTTTGTTAAATAGCTTTTCAAAGGGGGTGAGTCCTAAAAAGAATGGGTGTAGAAGTTTAATTAATCAAATAGGTGGCTGTAAGTACCCACTTTCCCCAAAAATTTAAAGGTAAGTTGGCTTGAAATTTGAGTGCCCAAGCTACCTCAAGCAAATGACAATGCTTGTGCTCAACGACACCATTTTGTTGTGGTGTGTTCACACAAGAAGTTTGTTGTAAAATGCCCTTTTTGAGACAAAAATCTTTTACATCCTTCAGTAAATTCCTTTCCATTGTCATTGCAAATTTGTTGAACATGAGTATGGAATTAAGTTTCAATCATTTGACAGAAATTTTTCAAGTATAAAGCAACTTCAAATTTATGTTTCAAAAGATAAACCTATGTGCAACGAGAGAAATCATCAACTATAATAAAAAAATAATGAGCACTTGTATTAGAGGGAGTGGCATATCTACCCCAAATGTCACAATGAAGCAAGGCAAATATATGAGTTGAAGTATTATTACTAATAGGAAACGGTAATCGAGTCTGTTTGGCTCTATGGAAAATGTTGCAAACATGCTTAATTTGAGGAGAACAAGAACACATGGAAGGGATTTTGGATAAATGTTCAGTAGAAATGTGCCCAAGTCTTTGATGCCACAACTCATATGACACACTCTGCTTTTGTTTTAGTTGACTAGCTGCTACAACATGCCCAAAACTGCAATAATACATCCTTCATGAACCCTACCCACTCCAATTAGCTTCCTCAAGGTAAGGTCTTGAAAAACACAAAAATTAGGAAAGAAGATCATAGCACAACCAAGTTGTTTGGTTATTTCACTGACTGATAAAAGATTGCAGGTGAATTTTGGGACGC